CCAGAAGATAAATGTATGGGTAATTGACTTTGCGCAGGCTTGAGAAAAAGCCTGGCAAGGTGTCCAGAAGAGAAATGCAAGTATAATTGACTTTGAGGAATTGACTGTGGCATGAAAGGTCTGGCAAGATGTCCAGAAGAAATATGCTTGGGGGAATGGACTGGGTAACGTGCATGTAAAATTGATTAAGCTTGAGTATAAGAGAGGGTGACATGCATGTGAAACTGGCAAGACTAGAAGAAAAGGCGGCCAGAATGACCCGGAGGAAATACGTGTGAATTGGGTTGGGCTTGAGAGTGAGAAAAGGGTGACGAGTGGCATGGATTGCACAGGCCAAAGAGCCAAGTAGAAGAGGCATTAAGGGTGACGGAAGTCGGAGAAGGGGCCTGGTTGGCAAGGGATGGAAGGAGAATCAACCAAAGGGCGCTTGGGATGGCAAGGTTCGGGGGAGAAGCAGGAATAGTGAAAGGAGGAAAGTTGAACAGGGGTTTGATGTACTACGGGTGATGAACGAGACGAAAAGGGTTTGATGTACTACGGGTGATGAATGAGACGAATGGGGTCGGATGTTCTAAGAGTGATGAATGAGACATGAGAAGCCTGAAGGACAAAGAAAGTCTGATCCTATACACCTCTCCCCGCTCCAATGACGAAAGCTAGAAAAAACCCGAGAAAGGAACAAGAAAAGACAAAACAGACACTGACAAGCTAACCACCTGTGACATTCCATCCTCCCCTCCCGTCCATACTTCCAAAACCCACTGACAAGAGATTGGTGCACGATGAGGACATCGCGAATGAGTGGGGGCAATGGGTCGGGACTGGTGGGTCCCGAATAACTTCTCATCACTCGAGATACTCAATATAGACAAATTGTGCACGAAAGAGAAATCTGGAGAAAGGAAGAAAGAGAGAGGAAAGACAAAGGGTTAGGCCACAGGAGAAAGTGAGGTCTGGGGTGAGAACCACAGGAGAAGAAAACCAGCGACGGCAAGAGAATAAGCGCAAGAACAGGGGCACATAGAACATAGCATGAGGCCGGGAGGGCCGTTGGAACTCAACAAGACTAAGGCCAAAGGGCCCTTGGACCAGCAAACGCGGTGCGGCAACGACAAAGGAATGAGGAAGTCGAGAGATGGACGACCCGGAGGCCGCGGGAAGTTAGAGAATGAGAGGCCAATATGGGGGTCATCTACGGGAGCCTCGGGGTGGAGGTCCGCGACCAAAGGAACCGGCGCGCACAAGGCGCGAGAAAAGACAAGGGAGAGGGGT